CTTGTTTTTCCTTATCAACGGTGCCAGCAAAAGGGACAGTTACTTCCACCCACTCATATTCTTCAGACACCCGTGGGACCCCTACTGAGTGATGGGTGCTGTGGAGATTCCGAAGAATATCAGACCCACAGCCCCTGTCCCCAGACAGCTTGTCGTCTAGCTAAGGAAGAAAGAGCACTGGAGGCAATGATATCTTCAATGATACTAAAGGGCTGGGTGTCACAAGGGGAAGGTCTGGATGTACGTGGGAGGAAGGGAGTTGATGGGAGAAGATGTCCTGGAAAGGGGAAAGACGGTCATGGGAGGGACCAGAGAAACCAATAAGGGACCAGCACGGGCCAACAGCGTGACTCCTGGCGAGGCAAACTGGGCACAAAGAGCGTGGGAACACATCTGTCTAGATGTGGGGACACAACTCCAGTACCCACAGGTGCACATGCTCTGCTCACAGTAGGGGAGCGTGGAGCAGGAACAGGTCACCCAGGCTGCTCAGATGTAAGGACTGGACCCTCTGAGAGGCTCTGGTTACAGAGGGGGCTGAGGAGGCATCTGAGACACAGAAGGGGCCTTGGTCTGACTGTGCAGTCTATGCCGAGGGCCATTGGGGAGCTCAGGGCCCTGGCCTTTCATGGCCTCCTTCCTCTCACAGGACACTCCATGCAGACAGGCTGGTGCACATCAGCCGTAGGCCTGTCAGGCAGGTGGAACCGATGCTGAGGGCTCTGGCTTCAGGGAATGAATGGCCACCGGCTGACATTAGGGATCCTGGAAGCTGCCTTTGGAATTTCACTTTCCATCCCAAGGCTAACCTGCCACCAGAAGCCCTCCCCTGGTCCCTGCCTGTGACAGCATCATCAGATGAGAAGAGTTCTGAAATAGAACTGAAGCCTTGGGTTCCAGGACCAGGTCGGCCAGTGATGCTGTGTAACTTGGAGCCCCGTGCTCTCTGCGGGTGGCAGGAGAGGTTCTTGGTCACCCTGGTCACATTATCTGTGGCCATGGGCTGTCTCCTGGCCTGCTCAGAGCTCTGGGCTTCCCTTGGGGAGAGCATCCTCACCTCAGATGATCTATATGAGTTGGAGCATCAGAGATTTGGGCCAAAAATGGAGCTCTCCCCGCATTTCAGTCAATACGGGGTGTCCTTCCTTGGAGGCGCTTCTCCATTCTCTGCCTCCCCTTCACACCCAATCACCCGACACCCTTTGCCAGGATCACTGAAAGAGTCTCAGTGATAACACTGCCGCTGGATCAGAAACCATCTGCGGCTCCCCAGCACCCATCTAAGACAAGGGAGAAAGGGAGAATGGAATTCCAGAAGGCCGGGAAGATGGCAGGAAAGGCCCTGAGCCAGGGCTGAAATCCTTGAGCAAGTTGAGAAAGGCAAAGGGGGTCATTAATGGGTGAGCTGAAGATGTCGGAGGAAAGATGGGTGAAAGACCGCCGAAGGGAAAAAGAGCAGAGCCCGTGGTGGAAGAGCGAGGGAGCGAGGGACCGTGAGCCGCAGTGGTGGAAGGCGGAGGAGAGATGCAGGGGCTCCCAGGCTCAGACGGGGGATGGGCAAAGTCAAGAAGAGGCTGAGGGTGGAGAGGGGCTTGCTTCCATGGGAATCGGCACTCCTGGCTTTTCGGGAGCCCATAGAAAGGGGCTGAGGCTGAGGCTGCTGGGGGCTAGGACAGAGGAGACCAAAAGTGGTGATGGGGGTGGGGGGGAGCATGAGGAGGCAGGTGATCCCATCATGGGTGGAGTGGTAAGAAATACCTGATATGTGATTGGAGGTGAGGCAGGAGAATGGAAGAGGCCTGGGAAAGAAGGGGCTGCAAAGATAGAGAGGATGACGGAGAGGAAGGAAGGAAGCAGAGGAAAAGAAAGAGGTGAGGGGAGACTTCCTGTGCCCGTAGGAGGGGTTGCTCTCCACCAGGATCCTGGAGGAGGATTCAGCAAGGGTCTCCTGGAGCTGGCACACCTGTGCCCCATCCCCATCCCCATGTATAAAGGTACTTGGTACCTCCCCGGCAGAGCCACACCCTGCTGGCTGGAAGATAATGCAGCACAGACCAGCCCCTTAGGACCCCTGGGGATCTCACCTGGCCGTGGTCTGAGGCCCCTGCAACCAATCCAGCCTAGCTGGTAGAGCGATGGGGGCTGGGCTACCTCTCCCACACACCTGGTGCCATACCTGGCCTTGCTGCCATCACCCATGACGTGGAGGCTGCAGCTGCACTGAGAAGGACAGGAGCCCCGGGCTTGGGGTTGCCCCCCGAGGGCCAGGAGCCAGAGCATGCCCACTGCCACCCTCATGGCTCCTGGCTCCTGGCTCCTCTGTAGCCCGGGCAGGGGCCTATCCCTGGACTGCTCTGTCCTGCCGGCCCAGCAAGCCCAGCAGCTGCCCACTGGCTCATCAGCCCCCACACCCCCACCTGAGGCCATTGGATAAACAAGGACGGTCTGGGGATTAGGGAGGGAGCCCTGGCCGCAGCACTCAGCGGCTTATTGCTTCCTGGAATCACCCGGTCCTGAGAGCGGGGGTGGGGTGGGGGATCCCCTTCTGTAGCATCAGCCCCAGGCCCAGAGAGGCCAGGACATGGCAAGGCGGGGCAGGTGGGCAGCCACCCAGGGGCAAATGGCTGCTGGACTGGCCGGCTGGGCTGCCCGCCTGCAAATCCACCCCATGCCAGCCAGGCTGGGGCTGCACAGACGAAGATGGGCTCAGAGAAGATGAAGACAGACCCTAGCCTCTGATGAGGGCCATTGGAATTCTCTCCTGCCACACTATTTCATTGTGAAAATGCAATGAGATGAGAGCAGTGAAGGCATTAGAAAGAGCCCAGCTCTGGGGCCAGGCCAGCCTGGATTGAAATGCCAGCTCTTTCACTCACAGGCTGTGAGCTTGGGTGAGACATGTGGTCCCTCTTGGCCTCTGTGTCCTCATCTGAGAAAGGGAAGCAACATTACTCTCCTCAGGGTGTTCATTCCCAGAACTTGACAGCCTTTGGGAGCAGAAGCTCTCTCGTGCCTAGTAAGCATCCGATTTCGCTGGCACTGACAAGCACCTGCTCGCAGAAGAGGTGGGAAGATTCAGATATTTCTGGGGGACCTCCAAAGGGTCTCCCATGGGCAGTGAATCTTCTTAGGCTGCTGTACTCCATGGACACCCAGTCCCAGGACACAACTGTTGGAGTGGAGCTCTTCTGGGCATTCCCACCAACGCCGAAGGCACGAGGGGTCTGTGTGAGAGCAGAGAGCGCCCTCTCCTCCGTCCTCATACTCTGAGGCAGGTCCCAGAGTGGGATCTCAGAGTCTTTAGAGAAGGACCTTCCAGTGCTCACTGATTTTTCCCTACCTCCAAACTCCTCCCACCACAGACACCACCTTACACTCATTCCTTCTTCACACTGGACCCCAAGGCTCTGCTTCTGGTTCAGCATGCTCTACCTGTCTTTTCCAGAAGGTTCCTCAGTCCCTCGCACCCATGGGCCCAGGCAGGCCTAGACCAGTGAGGAGTGACCAAGGTAGACACCTGCACACGGGAAGCGCCTAGCTCTTTGCAGGCCTGTCTTGATGATATTGGCTTCCAGGAAATGTTTGTTCCCCTGCCTTCTGCTCTTTCCAACCAGCCACTATGATTTGCTCAGTGCTTCCCACCTACGCCCTCCTCCCCAAACCAAAGGCCAGCCCTGCACTTTCCACATCCCTGCCTTCTCCTCCTTCATCCTATTGGAGATGCCTTCTCTTCTCTCTTCGGCCTCACTGAACTCTGTCCCTGATTCCCGGTCCTATCCTGCTTTCTCTTCTCCCTTGAGGTCTTTTAGGATCTTGAAGGCATTAAAAAAACAAAAAAAACCTGACTTCTGTATTAACCAGTAATACAAGATCGAAATTGGGAAAGGGGGAAGTGGGTTACCAAGGAAGGCCTCCATGAGGACATGGGTGTCCGCTCAGCCCTGAGGGGTGCTCAGGATATAAGTGGGGACCAGCAAGAGGCAAGGCGTGGGAAACGGACATTTGCGGAATAGAATGAGCTGCCTGACCAGGAGCCCAGGGAACAGGAGACCGGGCTTTTGTTTCAGCTCCATCCATGAATCCTTGCGTGACCTCAGGCCGCTTCTTGGAGCCTCAGTTTCCTCAAGTGAAATGGAAAGGATGGTGGTGTCCAATGCCTGGAGTTGTCGGAGTCATCCTAAGATCGCTTAGCACAGCGCCTGGCCCCCAGCAAGCGCTCAATAAACATGAGCTCTGTCACTGATCGTGCTCCAGCCTCTCTGTCTCAAGCTGGTACCCTGGGAGATGTTTATGCTTGTGTAGCTTACGTGCTGTGTGGTGTCAGGAAGGGCAGCCCCGGAGGCCACAGCCATGATGTAAGCTTCTAACCGAGACCTAAACAGGCCGTGGAAACAGAGGCTTCATTGCAAAGGAGGACCTGAAAAGACCCCAGTGGTGCCACCCCAGGGCACGTAGCTAGTTAGTGGCAGACTCAGAAGCAGGCCTTCAGTCTCCAGTCCCAGTCAGGGTTCTTTCAATGACAACAGATGACCTCCCAACCATCATCCTTTCCCCGTCGCTTGTGAGGACACATGTGAGCGTGTGGACATACACGTGCATGCACACAGGTGTCCAGCTTGTCAGCAGCTGCACACAGGGATGGGCCTGGCTCCTCAGTTCTCAGGCACAGCTGCAGCTCCAGTCCCTCCCTTGGTTATGCAACTCCTTACTAATTCGGCTCTCAGCCGCACACCACTCGGCAGCTGGGACCTTAATCCAGCCTGACGGGGCTGCAGTGAATGAGCCAGGGCTCCATTCTGCTTTCACAAAGGCTGCACTGTCCCACTGGTGAATGGGTTCCTTCTGTTCAGGCCAAAAGCACAATTTAGGGGTGGGGGGGGCAGCAAGAAGGAGCCCAAAGTATAGCTTAATCACCTGCATGTGCCAGCACGTGGAATGGCCCTTTAAAAGGGAGGGGCCTGGCTTTGGGGAGCCACAGAGAAGCTGGGCTGGCTGGGAGGAAGGCCGAGGATGGCAGAGTCCGGGTCCCTGCCCACCGGCTTCAGGGAGCTGGAGGTGCTGGCCGTGGGGACGGTGCTGCTGGTGGAAGGTGAGCCAGGCAGGGCTTGGGTGGAGCAGGAACCCAGTGGGCTCCCAGAACCCAGGCTGCAGCTGTGTAGCTGGCAAAGAGAGGTCCCCCAACCCTATTCCTGTGCCTAGACCCAAGGGGACCTCTGACAGCAGCAGCTGTGGGATGCAGCCTGCAGGCTGGGAGCCGGGAGACAAGCCAGGCAAGGTGAGGGAGGGAGGAAGGGACTTCGCAAGGGAGACACCTGCCCAGGGCATGACCAAGATCCAGGGTTCAGGCCTTCTCATGGCCATTCAGCCAGGAGAAAGTTTAATCCACTCCCTGGAAATCCTGCAAGGAATCTGGTATAAGAGCAGGCTCCTGGTAGGCTCTGAAGACACACAGCTCTGCCACCTGCTCTCCGTGTGACTGTCACCAAGTCACTCGAGTTCTCTGACCCTCGATGCCCTGACATTCCAGTGAGTGGTGGTAAAGGTCAGAAGGGATCATGGGTATGAAGTGCTAGCCTAGACAGACACCGGGCATTTCAGTTCATTCACTGCCATCCTCTCCAGCCGCACATCACTTCCACCACCCCCTGTTCCCCGGGCCCTGAGCATTTCCACACCGGGGCTACCTGGGTCCAGGAGGTACCTGCCTCAACTCAGCATCCCCAAGATGCTCACTGAGGCCAGAGCTGGGCCTGTAGACCCTGGAGCTGGGCAGGCCCAAGACTAGGTGGATGGGGAATGCAGCTCTGTTCGAAGCAGATCCAGAGAAATAACCAGCACAGGTTCTCACCCAACGAGAGCCGCCAGTGGAGAGGGAGGAGCAGCCACTAGGCTGGTCCTGGAGGCCCCGACACTGCTGTCTGGCGGCCCAGACCCTTTCCCTCTTTTCTGCGAACCACACAATCCAGCATCTCACAGTCAGACACGCCTGGAAATTTTACCACTTGATGCTGCTCCCTTTTTCTAGAATGCTCTTCCACACCCTGTCCTAGTAAACACTCAGAGTTTTGACGTCAGGGTCCTTCCCCATTCGTTACTCTCGATGGGGAGGCCAAGGTTCAGAGAGCACAAGGAGTAGCTCAAGCTCGGTCGGTCCATCTGCCCCCTGAGATGCCCCTCCGGCTCAGCTCCCTCCTGGTGTCCTGGGCAGCTCCCAGCTCCTCCTCGGGCTCCTCCTCTCCGAGGCTCCCCCTGACATTGCCCCACAGCCCTTGGAGAGGGCATTTTGGAATTTGAAAGAACTGAGTTAGAGTCCCAGCTCCACCACTTACCAGCTGTGTGCTTAGGACAAGTTAGCTAGCGTCTCTGAGCCTCAGTTTCCCAACTGTAAGTGGAGAGGACAGTACCCAGGGAAGACGGCTTGAGAGGATCCGCGTAAAGTGCTCAGCACTGTGATTGGCACATTCCGATGCTCAGGAGCTGTCTGTGCCCGTGACTGTTCTGGCAGGAGCCGCGCTACGCTTCATCGGTTTTCTTCCTGGTCTGTCTGCCCGGTGGACTGGGTTGGTGGAGGGCAAGGTGCGTGTCTTACGGCTCTCGGCATCTGACAGCCAGCCCACCTCGTAGGTGTGAGCTGGGCTACACTGAGAGGGTTATGAGCATGAAGGGGGAGGTTGCTGAGGCACTGTTTCTGCCCCCGGGGGGCCTCTCCAGCCCCAATGCCAGCCCCCTCCCTTCCTTTCAGCTCTCGCCGGTCTCAGCCTCAATAGCCTGACCATCCTCTCTTTCTGCAAGACCCCGGAACTGCGGACTCCCAGCCACCTGCTGGTGCTGAGCTTGGCAGTGGCGGACAGCGGGCTCAGCCTGAATGCTCTCGTTGCAGCCACTTCCAGCCTCCTCCGGTACCAGCCCCGCCCCGGTCCCTGGGCCCAGCCTGGGGCCTGACCTCTGGGCATTGGACAGCCAGGCCAGAGGCATCCTTCCTGCCCATAGACAACAATAGGGGAGATGGTGGGCAGGCTGAGCTATGCTAGATCCGAATTCCAGGCCATCCCTGGAGGACCACAGCCGGATTCTGGAACACAGGAGCTGCTCAGAGCAGACCCACAGAGCCTGCTGGCTGCAGGAATTAAGAGTCCAGGCCCTGTGCCCAGGCTCCTGGGTCTGAATCCTGGCTTTTTTGTTTCTGCCTCTTGGCTTCTTCTGTAAATTGGGTATTATCACCTCACTCATGGTGATCGGAAGTATTGACTTGTTATTATTTGTAAATAACTCAAAACAATGCCTGGCACCTAGGAAGCCCTAAAGAAGTGTTTTTGAAAGCGAACAGAATTTTCACAAGTGTTTCAGACCTCCTGCTGTGCAATCCACAGTCTTCCACCGTAGCCCCAAGATTGTTTTCTTAAGCGGACGGAACATTCCTGTTCTGGTTTCGGGCACCACAGATGGAGGCTGGAGCCCACCCGGGTGTGGATGCCCAGGGCTGACCAGTCCATGGGGTCTGGGCCAGTGAGGGTTCCCGGCCCTGATCTCCTGCTGCCCCTGCCCAGGGTAGGGGGCAACTGAAACTTCCACCCTCCTTGGCCCATGGGGCCGAGAGTTGGGAGGCCTGGGGCCTATCCTCTTTGCCTTCATCTGCTGTGTGACCTTGGCTCCATCACTGTTCCTCTCTGAGCCTCGATTTCTCCATCTATAGCGTAAAGGCATGGCTCTCCTCCCAGCTCAGGGGTTCCATTTCCTGTGCTGGAGGCATCTGATCACGTAGGTGGAGAGACCCTTTGGTCCAGCCGAGGTCAGTGTAGGACCCTGAGCCTGAGAGCGTGCGTGAGCTCCACCCTTCACGCCAGCGACTCGGTCTCGAAGGCCTCAGTTTCCTCATAGGAGGAGCAGATGACAAAGCCCCCTTCCGAGGAGCCAGGCCAACATTCAGGAGGGTGCTGTCCCAGCTGCCGGCAGGCAGGTGTGGGAGGAGGGCGGGGGCAGAGGGGAGGGGTCACCGGTGCCCAGTGTCTCCACAGGCGCTGGCCCTACGGCTCGGAAGGCTGCCAAGCCCATGGCTTCCAGGGCTTTGTGACGGCGCTGGCCAGCATCTGCAGCAGCGCGGCCATCGCCTGGGGACGCTATCACCACTACTGCACCCGTACGTCATGGTCTCTGGGCTCCCAGCATGGAAGGACATCCACGTAGGGAGGGTGATCAGGCCGCAGGTCTGCTCAGTGTGTCCCAGTCACGGGGAGTGTGGGTGGGTGTGAGGGTGCACGAGTGTGGGGTGTGAGCATTCATGAGAGGAGGGAGGGTGGGAGAGGACACAAGAGGTGTCGAGGCACGCGCTGGAAAGGCTGCCTGTGCCTTTGCTGCAGTCTCAGGCAAGTCAGGGGTCCTCTCTGAACCCTAGTCTCTTCCTCTGCAAGATGATCTTTATAACCAACCTCACAGTTTTATTTTGAAAATCGGATGAAATCGCGGATAGAGAAAATGCCCTTGAAGACAGGCACTTTGGGAGGCAGAGAGGTGGTGTGTGTGTGTGTGTGTGTGTGTGTGTGTGTGTGTGTAGCTGGGCATGTGTCCCTGTACTTCACACTTCCACGGGGTTTAATGAACACTAGCTCTCGATTTCCCAAGCTGTGTTGTCAAACGCCACCTTCTTAATTGGCCATATCAGTGTACTACCTGCTCTGTTATTTACTTGATTTTTTTTCTTAAAAGGGACTCACTTTTAAACATTTAAATGCCTGCTTTAGTCCCCTTTTAAAAGTATCTGTGAAATCTCAACTTTAACATTTTTATAATTTTAATCTGCATTAAAATAAAAAACATGTTCACTCATAGACCCTCTAGAATCCCACTCACACCAGAGGCTTTGGGGAGCCGCGCCTCAGCTAACCCTCACAGCAAACCCCCAGCTTGCAGACTGGGAAGCAGAGGCTCAGAGGAGGAGCTTGCCCAGGGTCGCACAGCTCGTAGGGGCAGAGCTGGGGTTGGGCATGGCCTGGCTGCCTGCAGAAGCGGTCTTGCCCTTTGCCTCCTGGGTGCCGAGTCCCAAGCTGTGAATTTGCCTGGCACAGAGGATGCTGTGGGGTCATAGCCAGCAGGGCCTCAAGCCCTGAGCATCGCCCCTCGGGAATGCAGATCTACTCTAGCCGCAGACACACACAGCCCCGTGCCCTCGGCAAAGTCACACGCCTCCCTCCAGGCCAGAAGCTCGCTTCTGCTCTTATCCTGTCCCAACTCCTATCCTGCCCCCTTGACCTGGGAGTCCTCTCCCACCACTCCTCTTCCAGCTCTGCCTCAAAGCCCCCTCAGACCATCACACACTCATGTGCACACACACACACACGCACTCTCACATGTGCACACACACACACACACACCCCTTCTCAGACACCAATGGGCTTCTCTACCTTAATACGGAGCAGCTAAGCGCTGTTCCAGGGGCCTCTGGATGAAGGCCCTTTCTGTGTTTCAGTGCCCAGCAGAGGGATGTGAAAACAGGGAAGGTTAAGGAGGGGTCTGAGCTCATCACTCCATTACTGGGTGACCTCGGGCGTGCCACCTTGGTCATCCGTTTCCAAAGCTGAAAAGGCTGACACGACACCTGGGTCGAGGTGGATATTAACTACTGTGCCCACAGCTAGGGGGCTATCTTAGTCTGCTGGAGCCACTGTAACAAAAATACTGCAGCCTGGGCAGCTCGAACAACAGGAGAGTATTTCTCCCAGTTCTGGAGGCTGGAAGGCTGAGCTCACGTGCCGGGTTCTGGGGCGGGCCCTTTTCCTGGCTTGCAGATGGTTGCCTTCTCGCTGTGTCGTCACATGAAGGAGAGAGAGCGCATCTCTCATGTCCCTTCTTATGAGGGCACTAATCCCATCACGGGGGCTCCACCTACATGACTTAATTACCTCCCAAAGGCCCCACCCCCAAATACCATTGCACGGGGATGAAGGCTTCAACATATAAATCTGGGGGGACATAAACATTCAATCCATAGCAGGACACATCCAAGCAAATGCCATCTGGGGCTGCCTCAATGGAAGCAAAGTGTCAGGATGAAGGGGGTAGAGACCTGCTCTTCTCTGCTGATGGCACCCCACCTGGAGTCCTGGCCTCTGCCCCAGGGTCTCATCCACAAAGGACCATGACAAATAACCCATCGACAGAGGAGGCCCCCGGGATAGGTCTTCTGAAGCCGGGTCCGGGAGGAGGCGCTGGCTGAGAAGGGCTGGATGAGGCTGTGAGGGGCAGAGTGAGGGAGAGTGGAGAGGTCATCAGTGGACCGCTTACGCCAGAAGATGCCGCCTGGACCCAGCCTCTGCCACTAGCACTGAGGTGAGGCCCTGACTCCCAAGCTCAGAGTTCTCTGAGGGGCACCTTGGAAGCAGAGACGGTGGTCCGCTTCTGAGCAAGAGTTAAGGACAGCAGTAAGTCAGACCTGACTCCCTCCGCCATGATCCTCACCTGAGCTTCTGCTTCTTCCCCAACTTAGCTTTGCCACCCCCTGCTTCCCTCTGTCCCCTGAAGGGGATGGTATGGAGTGTCTGCTAGGAGACCCTCGCCATCCATTATCTCTTCCGTCCTTCATAACCATCCTCTGTGGAGGAGAGGACTGAGGTCAGAGAAACTCTTCTCTTGCCCGAGGCACTAAGCCGTTAAGCATCAGAGCTGGGGGTTTAGGGACATGCTGGGTGACCCTGCAGTCCATTCTTTTTCACTCGGCCAAGCTCTGTCTTCCTCTCAGCCACCCTCCTCCTCTGTCCCACGCAGGCAGCCGACTGGCGTGGAACACGGCCGTCTTCTTGGTGTTCTTCGTGTGGCTGTCTTCTACCTTCTGGGCGGCCCTGCCCCTCTTGGGCTGGGGCCACTATGACTATGAGCCGCTGGGGACGTGCTGCACCCTGGACTATTCCAAGGGGGACAGGTGAGGTGGGAGGAGCAGCTTCCAGCCTCCTTTCTATGGGAACCTTGGCTTTGAGCTCTTGTGACAACTGTGTCACGGCTGAAAATCCAAATGGGGAAGTGTCAACCCTTGTTGGACAATCTCAACTCCTTAGTGGTGATACCCACTTGTAAGTTAACAGTGGGATGGGGAAAGCCCAAGACAAGCCAAGTGATGGCAATATTATGCAAATCGGGGCATAGAATTGGGCCTAAGATGGGGCATTATCCAGTGAGCCATTAGTCACTGAGCTCCACGACCCCTTTGCGGTCTTCAGCACAGTCAGCTGTCCCAGCTCTGACTTCATCATTTTCTAGAAGGAGCCATGTCCCTAGTTGGACAGATTCAAAGAATGTGAAGGTCTTTGCATTGGGAGGGACCTCCTCGGCATGGAGTTCACCTCTCCAGATTCCTTGAGCTTCTGCTGTGAGCCAATCCTTGGGTCACACCCTAGAGAGACAGGATTGAGTGCATGATGGCCCCCACCATCACAGAGCACGTGTCTAGCACTGCCCCGTCCACGAGGCTCTGGAGAGACCAGGGCAGAGGGAGACCCTTTAGAGCCTGCCTTGGGTGGGGGGTAGTCACCTGGTCCAGCCTCCCTCTTGCTTCCGCCAGAGCCAGGTTGCATTCATTTGTTCCACATGTTTACTCATGTCTACCGATGACAGGCTTCCCAGGGAATCCACTTGAGATTCCCTGGTCTTGTCCAGTGTCCATCCAGGGCCCTCTCTGCAGGTATTTCCCCAGCCGCTGTCCAGTCCTTCTGGCAGTCCTTCCTCCTACCCCTCCTTAGTGGACAGTACCAGGGTGACGCGGTCCCCCCTTCACGGAACAGGAATCTCCTCCCTGTGACTCTCACCTGCTCCTGGTCAGGCCTCTGCCTCCCCATGACCATTACCTGGAACCCCAGGCTCTTCTGTGGTCCCTTCAATGATTTCTTCAGTGACACAGTGTCGAGTCTCTTCCTCAGGCCCTTTCGAATCCCCGTGCCTAGAACACTCCTTGAATGATCTTTCCTCTTGCTCCACTGACATCTCCTCCATTTGGTAAACATGTTTCTCAAGCTAAGCTGTGCTGTTTTCCACGCTAGGGGCACAGGCAGAGAGCAGGCTGAGCATGAACCAAGGAGGCCTCTCCCTCGTCTCTGACCCCGGGCTCCTGCAGGCAGGTTCTAGGAGGACCGAGTCGCTCCCTGGCTCCCAAGGGAGTTCAGCGGGGACCCATGAGCGGCCACACTCTGAGCAGTTGTCTGATAGGAGCACTTCCCGCATCTGACCATCCAGAGCAAAGTCTGATGGGCCTTCGAGGGCCGCTGATGACCCCCGAAAGATGATCCTGACCCTCTACCCCTCTGCCTGCAGGAACTTCACCAGCTTCCTCCTCACCATGGCCTTTTTCAACCTCCTCCTGCCCCTCCTCATCACACTCACATCCTACCGGCTCATGGAGCAGAAGCTCGGGAAGACCGGCCAGCTCCAGGTAAGGACCCACGCCCAGAGCAGATGAGCTCTCCCTGTCCCCATGAGGGACACCAGGGAACATGAATGATGTCACAGATGATCCAAAGATCAGGAGAAAATCCAGCTTCCATGGAGCATGGGGTGTTAGGGATGGAACAGACACTCCCAATTGCTGGGCATCACCAAGACCCGGGAGGAAGGGTCAGGACTCTCAGATTTACCCAGACCCCGCAGCCCGGGAGAGCCAGGGCCCCCTGCAGGCCACCATGCATGCTTCCCGAGGATTTGAGGGTTGCACGAAATCACGTTTTTTAAATGTTGCTTTTAAATTGCTTCAAGATGTTTCATTGAGTTGCAGGCACGGGCAGTGACCCACAACGTGAAACCACAACTGCAACCACATCTGTCCAAGAGAAACAACGGTTCAAAATGAGCCCCCGGCCATTTCTGAACTTCTGCATTAATATTTCCCTGTCACCATTTTCTTTTAACTTTGTCACCCGGACAGTCTCTAGCAGATGAGTCATAATGAGCATCAGAGATTCAAAAATTGTATAAATATTACGTTCTGTGCATTATGCCATTACATCCTTGCAACCGATCTCTGAGGAAGAAAGGGTTTATGTTATCCCTGAGTCACAGACCAGAAAATTGCGGCTGAAAGGGGTTGGCTGTGCAATACACCAAAAGCCACACATCTAGTAACAGCCCACTCGGATCCAAACCCGGGTCGGCCCCTTCACCACCCAAGTAGTTCATCATAACGAACGGAAGAAACACTCTCTTTGTTGAGACATTTAATCTGCCACTTTTTTTTTTCTTCTGAGAATTGGAAAAGGACTGAACAAATCGATTTAAGCTGGAGCGCCAGGTTCCTCTGAGTCCCAGACAGAGGGCGATGCTGTCTGTGCGCGACCAGATCGTGTCCCCCGCTCCCGGCTGGGTGCTTGCCTGCTCGCCGCCGCCTCCCGGGTGTCCTCCGCGCTGCCCGGCCTGGGTGCTCCAAGTCGCCTCATTTATCAGAGGCTCAATCAGCCAGAGACACGGCTGCCACACGGATTTTCCCCGTTTCCCGGGTTGACTTTAAACCATCAGGTGGGCAGCATCAGCAGAGGTCGCTGCGCGCGCCCGGGGACCACGGCTGCGAGCTGAGCGGTTTCCGGAGGAGGTGGCAGGGGTCAGCTCCGCGTAGGGGTCAGCTCTCCTCCGGCCTCAGCTCCGACGGGAGGGGCCTCCCACCTGTGCTAAGCACCTTTTTTTTTTTTTTTTTTTTTTTTTTGATTGAGGGACAATTCAAGAGAAAAAATATCTCCCGGTCAGTATATTTTAAAATCCAAAATTCCAGGAAACAATGTACCCTCGTCCCAACTTGTCACCTTCTTTGTTAAAGGGAGGCGTGGCCAATGAGAACACAGGCGCTGATTTTTAGGGTCAGAACTTTAACATCCGAGTGTATAGGGGGAGCAGGAACCTGCAGCTTCCGGCCCGAAATTAGATCCCGAGGCGTGCGCCCCCGGTGGCCCCAGGTGGCACCACAGGCCGGCGCCCGGGTTGTATGTCCCAGGGCGGAAAGTGGCCCCCATGAACCCACGACAGGCTGTCCCCCAGGTGGCTGCAGCTGCTGATGACCAGCTGGGTCAGGGACAGAGGTGTGAGGGCAGCTCAGCCACGGGACCCTCATGCACACGGCCACACCCACGGAGCCCAGGGTTTCTCAAAAGGAGCCCCGACCAGGAAGCTCAATAGCTCATTATCGGCCCCCAATCCCCCGCCTCCACGCAACTCAGGAATTATCGGGCCACTTTACAGACAAGGCAACTGAGGTCATGTAGCTTAAATGAGAGGCTTAGGGTCACGCATCTTAAACAGAAGAGAGATTCATCTGGTCCCAAGTTCCTCCGCAGGCTCAGCATCTTCCTGCAGCCCTGCGGAGTGCCGGCCTGGTCCGCGGGCCACCTGGAGCAAGTGGATGCCTCCCTCCCGTGCCCATTTCTCCCCAGGTGAACACCACGCTGCCAGCCAGGACCCTGCTGCTCTGCTGGGGCCCCTATGCCCTCCTGTATCTGTATGCGACCGTCGCAGATGCCACCTCCATCTCCCCCAAGCTTCGGATGGTACAGACCCTCTAGTACCCAAAGCTAGACCCCTCTCCATCTTTGTGCCTCTGTTCTGCCCCATCTCTCTTTCTGGCTTTTGGCCTCCACGATAGGCTCTCTCTTTCTCTTTTCCTTTGAACATTCGTAACACTCCATATTTGCTGGTCCCCCGGGCCACACAGGGCGGCAGCTTGGCATTGCCTAGGCCTCATGTGAGATGACAGAGACGGACAGCCAGATGGTGAACAGTACACTCTGGGGCCAGGGGCTGAGACTGGTGCCCGGGGAGGAGGGCGTTTCTGTGCATCATCTGCCACCTGGTTAGAGGCAGCTCAGAGGCTGCAGAACCAAGCGAAGGACAAGTGACTGGTGGCTGCAGGGCGGGGTGGGGGAGGCAGGGTGACCAGTTGGGACCAGGGAGAGGAGCAGAGGCTCTGAAGCTTGTCTTCTGCACTTCCCTATCACAACAGGTACCGGCCCTCGTCGCCAAGACGGTGCCCACGATCAACGCCGTCAACTACGCCCTCGGCAGTGAGATGCTCCACAGAGGGATCTGGCAGTGCCTCTCGCCCCAGAAAAGTGAGCGGGACCGAGCCCAGTGACATCTTCCTGGGGCTGCTCAGACCCAGGCCCATCCCTCCACCCTGGATGGAACCCCACACCAGGAGGCTGCCCCGGGAGTCCTGCCCCGCAGCCTCCGAAGCCAAGCTCCAGACCCTCATCACCATCTCCAATGGCCCTGGTGAGCCTGGCCCCAGGCTGGACACTGGATTCAGAGAGAAACCAGGCTGCACGGAAGGAGCGGGGACGTTGGAGCAGACGCGCCTGAGTGTTGGTCCTAGACCTCCACAGAGGCTGAGAGATCTTGGAAAGTCACTCTCTCTGACCCCCAACATAAGGAGAGGAATATGGGCTGTTGTGGGTCTTGCACAAGATATTGTGCACTCGCCACGCACATAGAAGCCGTTCATTAAAACAGAGCTGTTAGGACTCGGGGTCTGACATAGGAAGGGGTGAAAGCCCCAGGTTGGCTTGTTCAAACGCCGCTTATTAAATCGTGATCTGGTGCCAGTGACCCGCTCTGCCCGTGCATCTGTTTCCCAGCCTGTGAGATGCGATGACAGTCATGGCGACTTGACCGCGCAGAAAGGACTGGAAATAACTTAGCCACCAGCACCCACCAGTCAAAGACAGCTAGCTGCATGTTGCTGAGTTGCCAACATTAAAAAATTAGGACAATTTATTTAAAACTCCTGATATCCACAGATGAGGCCCCGCCGGCCTGCCCCCCTCGATGGGGACAGTTTGTGAGCTCAGGGTGGCTTGCCATTTGCCCAGGGCGTGTCCTCTCTCATCAGCTGCAGCCCATGTGTTCCTGCAGAGCCCGTGGGCATCTGGTTTGTGACAGTGATGCTGGGGTCCCCAACCCTGCATGTACATCTGCACCTCCCTCAGCGTCAGCACTTTGGGGACAAAGTGTGGCAGATGCACAGACCTGGGTGGGACCCGTTGCCCTAGAGGGAAATGGAGATGGTTGGCAGGGTGACCAAAAGGTCCACCGAAGGTCTGAGGATGGAAGGGAAGCTGCCCCAGGCGCCGAGGAGGCGGGAAGGACAAAAGCTTGGTTCCATGGAGGTGATGGGGGGCAGAGACGAGTCCCAGGGGGTAGGGAGTCGGGGGTCATGAGTACAGCTTCTGGGACCCCTGTACACCAGAACCTGCCTCTCGGTTTTGCAGATGCAGAAAATCAGGCCACGGGAACTGATATGTCACAAGAAGTCTACACAAAGCAGAGGCCCATCAGTTATTTTGCAAAACCAGGTGCACTGGGGAGGGGAGGCAGCCTTCGCACAGTGCTGTCTCCTAGACTGTGCCCGTAGACAAGATGACACCCGGCTTCACTCCACGCCCACACGGGACCTTGTCTTGGGCCCTGGAATGGAGGCCAGGCTCACACACAGGCTGAGTGGGTGACCAGGAAAGCAATGGGGTCCGGGGCCCAGAGATGCTGACCCTGCTCCCATAGCCCATGATCTTTAAATTGTCGTTATTGGGTACCCACCACTCACTCCACCAACAGAAACACTTAGTCCCTAATGAGGGACGAGGGAACACGGTGAGAAGAGAAGAGGATGATCCCCAGGCTCAGAGAGAGAAGGGGTGGAAGATGAGAGGAGGCTGGAGACCCCCAGCAAGGGTGGCCAGTGTCCCCAAACAGATCATGCCCCTCCTGTGCTCAGAGGAGAGATGGGGAGGAAGGCAGGTTGGCTGGCGCCGTCAAGGACACCGTTAGCTCAAGCCCTGCATCCCCAAGTCTGTCTGGAGGAGGGGAAGGTGGGCTCAGCATCGCCCTGCTGGGCTGGAGCAGCACCCCGGCGGGGGTGGGGCGGATGGCCAGGGTCCTGCCTGGAGCCATTGTGTGGAAGCCCCAAGTCTACCCACACCCTACGTCTTACTCACAGATGGGTTTAGGGAGTCTCATCACCCTTGGGCTTCTCTGCCATGTCCCCAAACCCTTTCAGGGTCTGGAGTCCCCTGTGGACCCTGTGCAGACCTCTCCTCTGCCCTCCTTCCCACCAACACTCCAGCACCCACCGTGCCCTCCTTGGAGCAGCGCAGCCACCACTGGGGGCCCCAGGGGCAATCTGAGGCGTCATCCCTGGATGGAACGCAGCCAGCACCTGACAGAAGCAGGAGCACAGTCCCAGGACCCAGAACCGCCCCTGCCTGGCTGTGCTCCACGTGCCCCGGCGGATGCACAGCCCTCATGCTGTGTCTGCTGATCTCCTGCAATGAACACGTGTCACTTTGACAGTCAAGAAATACATGTGAGGAGGGGCCTGCCCGGTGGCGCAGCGGTTAAGTTCTCGCTCCGCTTTGGTGGTCTGAGGGTCACCTGTTTGGGTCCAGGCACGGACCTATGCACCACTTGTTAAGCCATGCTGTGGCAGGCACCTAAGGTATAAAGTAGAGGAAGATAGGCACAGATGCCAGCTCAGCGCCAGTCTTCCTCAAAAAAAAAAAGTGTGAGGAAAGAAAATACTTCTGCCTCCTTAGAGGGGTTGTTTCCTGGCTCCTTCTGTTTCTCTGATTTGGGCAACAGTCTCTCCCCACCACCCTCACTTCTGCCCCCCAGGCTCTCAGTGAGCAACCTCTCGCCCTTTCTTGGGCACCCCAGGTCTCTCCCCTCCATTCACTCATGTGGCCCTAACGCCACCTAGTGGGGATGGTGCCCTGCTCCCCACACACAGACACAATGCGCTTTGAGGGACATGCCAGGAAAGAACAGAGAAATCAGCAGGGACTGCTTGAGATTCCTCCGGCCCCGCGGGCTCAGGGCATCTTCCCCGAGGCCTCGGCCTCAGGCTCCCGGTGCTCCAGGCCCTTGGCCTCAGCCCTACCATGTCACCAAAGGATCAGGAATGGATTAGGAAGAGGCCGCCAGGAGGTGGTCCAACAGCCAGAGCCAGGCAAGCGCCAGGAGCCGGACAAGGCTAGCCCAAGCCATGGCTTCCTCCATGGGGAGTCAGCGTCCACTTACCCCCACCACCCGCTCTGTGATGGAGCTCTTGTTCATTCAGTATCCGTCGTGTCAGACACTGCGCCGATGGGACACAGGGCTGAGATCCTTCCCACGTCCCTCAGGAAGTCCACGGCCTCTTTGTCCCTTCCTGGCACTGGCGAGTATAAACAGATGCGAATGCGGTGAAGAAGTCAAAAGCAGAGATCAGGGTCTGGCTGCATCCCCAGTAAGCGGAATCAGGAGTGATAATCAGAGGGATCAAGATTACCCAGAAGTTTCCTCCAGAATCTCTGCAAGCCTTTGCCTCAGAACTAACCCCTTTTTCCTCCTTCTCGATAAATTGAACGTGCCCTCTGAGCTTCTCTGTGGACTCAGTTTAATCGTGAGTGTCAACAGAATTGTCCCCCCATGACTTTCAATGCATGCTGCATTTCGGCCCCATTCTGGATTTTTTTTTTTTGAGTTTCTGTGGTTTGATTTGTGACCTAAATGCCACCATTATGCTTTGACTGTAGCCTGTGGAGGAGGAGGGTCCAGTTCATGCCCTCATGTGTCGTGACCAGGCTGTGGCCCTGCCACCCTCTCCTGGGGGCCCTGGTGGGTCATGAGCCCTCTCTGGTCCATCTTCTCCATGTGTGGGGCTCTGGCAGGGCAGAAGGCTTTCAAACTCTATCAGGAGTCTAAGTCTTTCTCAAGCAAGATGTCTGTTATGGATTGAATGTTTGCATCCCCTCAAAATTCCTGTGTTGAAACCCTAACTCCCAAAGTGACTGCATTTGCAGATAGAGCCTCTCCCGAAGTGATTAAGATTCAATGAGGTCTTGAGAGTGGGGCCCTGAGCTGATCACATTAGTGTCCTTATAAGAAGGGACCCCAGGGTGTTCTCTCTCCTCTTTCGCCGGCTTATACACACAAGGAAAGGCCGTGTGAGGACACAGGGAGAAGGTGGCCCCCTGTGAGCTGAGGGCAGAGGTCTCCCTGGATACCAGCCCTGGTGCAACCTTGATCTCAGATTTCTGCCTCCAGAATAGGAGACAATAAACTTCTGTTGTTTGAGCCACCCAGCCTGTGGTATTTTGTTACAGCAGCCTTAGCAGACCAATACAATGTTACGCCAAAGCTGACCGTTTAGAACGTGACAGCAGAGAGGATGGAGAGCCCAGCTGGTACCACTGCCAGCACCCTCCCCCACCAGGGTACGCAGTATGCCTTCTGCAGAACCCCAGGATTGTATGAAGCCCAATTGAAAATGCACAAGATTTGTTTTCCAAGATCACCTACCATTCTAAGATCCACTGATTTCAGAGTTTATTTAAGATCTTTAGCAAAGCAATATAAGGAGAGTAGAATTCTATCTCCCATCCCACCCCGTCCTCGTGCTGGGAACAATGGCTCTGCCTATTGACAAAGGGACCTGAATTAAAGTCATAAATACTAGCACATTGTCTCTGAGCTAAAGGAATGGGCAGTCCCCGGCCTCCTTCCCAAGGTCCCCACTGGACCATTTTCCTGGGGAGAGAGGGACCGTGTGCCTGACTGAGCAGCAAAAAAAGGAAATACAAATTCATTATAGCCTAAACCATCTCTATATTCGCTCTTAAGAGTAAGAGGATTTTGCAAGTTTTCCACATAGGGAAATAAGTTCCACGGCAAGGTAGTAGGCCTAATTTATTTGTATCTTTCTCCTAGTGACAAAATTGATAGTGTTTCTGCTATTTTCCCAGTTAGAAACACATCTAGTTCAATTTTATCTAATGTAAGCTCACTCTCCCTCCCACCAAACTGCCTATGGTATTATTTTGCCTATCTCAATAAATATCATTACTATCTGTCCTGTCGTATAAGCTAAATGAAGAGAAAAGGAGGGAAAAAAGCAAAGAACTGATGGCAGGTTGGGATGGCGCAGTACTGGCTTCTACCACCAGGTGGCAGTGCTAACTCAATGATAAATCTATGCTGGGCATCCAGCCCTGGAGGTGCCTTTCTGAATAGCCTGGGAGTTCCCTGGCAAGCACATGTGGGTATCGATTCCTGCAGGATCTCAAACTTTCTTTTCTGCTCTTGGTACAGAAGCATGATGTCTAGCATCTTCTACCCCAAATGATGATGTGATTCCACATCTCTCCCTGAAGGGAACAGAATTGTGTGCCCATTGGCCAGAGGACACGCAGCTGGCCCTATAGAGTCCCCCTTTTCTCTGCCTACAGAACAGTCAGTGAACGTCCAGCCGGATGTAAACCCCCAAAGTCCTCCTGAGCAGAGGATTTGGTTAGGAGGGCCGGGGCTGGGTTTTGCCTGTAATTGTGAGAATTTGGGGCAGTCCCTGAATTTTTCTGACTTGGGTCGTTCCTCTGGAAAGTGGGGTGATGGCCCCTTGTGCTGCTATTACATGTGGGAGCACACTGCAGACCACGGGGTGCAGGACAGGGGGGCAGCCCTCGTCCGGTGCCCGGAGAAGCAGCTGAGCCCCAGGAGATGTGCAGGGAGTGGCGTGTGACGATGGTAATGGTTCTACAGTAGTGAGAGCTGGAAAAGCCCTGGATGAAGGCCAA